ATAGGAGAAGACATTGCTATAACTCTTTAGGTCAGTCTGGTATTTCGATTTGAAGGACAGCTGTGTATCTTGTGTGAAATGCATTTTTACCAAAGAGTGTAGACAAGTTAAGAAGGAATGTCAGAACAGCAGACTTTATAGAAAATAGCAAAATAGTCCAGACCGGGTTTCTCATTTGATGTAATTTAATTTCAATGCTTCTCTAGCAGTGATTCTGTCTGTGTTTCATCATTCAGCAGTTTTAATTTATGAGACGTGCAGCTAGATAAGAGCTTAACTAGATAACTGGAAGACGGTCTACTGGCAAACGCCAGTGAAAGGTTGAAGACAATTTAAACGATGAGGAAATTAGCTAATTAGTTTACTTTTAGGCAGCCAGTGGGAGGAAAGTGAAATGAAGTTTCCCAAATAACAATCCAAGCAGCAGAATGACCCGGGTGTCTTTCAGAAAGTCCATAATTGCAACCAGACCATCGTAACGCATCGTAGATAACATGCACCACCTCTCTTGGGCCTGCAGTTGTTGAAGCTGTGAAGTTATATATCTCTCTGTACTTGCTCTCTCTCAATGTGGAACTTCACATAAATGCCTGCAGGCAAGTTTGAAAATAGAAATGAATTTGCATTTTCATTATCTTTTTTTTTTCCCCAAACCTTCATTCATGGAATACAGATGGTGTTTGAAGCACTGTAGCCTGAGGCGGTTCTTCTTTCTCTACTCCTTTCCTCTTACTGCCCGATACATAAACACCAACACCACTCCAACAAAGTCACTTTTTATTATATTATATGCTGCTGTATTTAGGCGCATTGTGTTATTAACTGGCTGACAATGGACCAAGACCTCAAGAGTGAATATGAATATGCAGTGAAGGTTGCTGAATAATAATAAGCAGAGTTTGAACTCTCCTGTAGTCTTAAGAGGGGTCATCTTAGGGCCCTGCCTGAAATTTTCACCGTGTTCGCGGTTCTGGTGGGTCACCGGTTTATCTTTTTTGTGTGGTTTCACACCTGACGAGCTGCCGGATTACCTGGTTGGCCGACCGTGACGTCTGCTGTGCTCGACCTGAGCGTCGAGCACAGCAGACGTTAAATTTAGTTGAAACTTTGCCAGAAAGAGTAGAAATGAAGCAAACATTGTTGGAAGACTGACATGGTGGATCACACGGATAGGCTTTGCTTCCCTGTCTTCATTATTTAGTGTAATATGTAAAGATTTGCATAATTTGTTGTTTTTCTCTTTTGTCTCTTGCTACCAAAATCTGGATGAGAAAAGTCTTCAGTTTAGTGTTTTGTGCTCAGCTATCCATTTTCTGAACAATGTTGTTTACAAGGACTCTATAACTCATTTTATTTGTTGTTTTGTTTATTTACTTTGTCTTCTAGTTCCAGTGTTAAGTCTTCATCAGAACTTAGTTTGTTGCTCTTTGAGATTGTGTCCTTGCATTATTGTGTAATTACCATTGTATAACTTGAAAATAACTGAACAGTACAATGTGACTTGTATTTTCTTATTTTTAATAGGTAAGAGTGAGATGTTGTTTTAATGTTGTGCCTAATGGTGGAAGACAACAGTTACTCTTTACATATGTAAAATTAGAACGTTTTTACTTGATACTCAGACGTTTTTAGCATTGCTCTTTTCCACCTTCAACTCAATCTATTTGTTTTGTTGTAATTTTAATCACATTATTCATTTTGCACTCATTATATAGACCTCTGAGAAAGAGACAAGACTCGTCTAATGAAAATCAAACAAAAACAAGCTCCCTCGTGTGAAGATATTCCTTTTTTGAGGGATTAACTTGTAAACTGGTTAATCAACTTTTAATTAATGTTACATTGTGACTTATACTTTGTCACAATGTTTGTTTTATCTGCTTCTGTGTTCAGAAGCAGATCAAGTTATGAATGTTCACAGGAGAAGATTGGACTTTCTCAGTGACTAAAGAAAATATTTTCTAATCTGGAAATGTGATTTCACAGTCATAGGAAGAAAGTACACCCTTTTAGGTTGAAGTTTTACATACCAGAACATCAACCTCAACTGCAGAAAAACACCCAACTAATTCCACTGAAATGATTCATGACTTAAAGAAATACATTTGTACTAAAACAGGACAGTGAGGGGAATAAATATATTTTTATACAGTGGATATAAACATCTGTTTTCTGCTGAACCTAATAAACCACAACCTAAGTCAGTCGTTGGTGACTCTACATTTGAGGGAAAACCTAATTTTCCTTCCCCTTAATCTGGGCTGTGGAAAGGTTGCACATCAGATTTCGTTTTAATTGCCGTCATTTCCCGCTCATTTGTGTGCCATTTACTGCCAGTCATCCTGTGATTCTGTTAGATTGCGTTCACTCCCAGCTCTGTCTCTGCTTGGGTTTTGGTTCACTACAAATCTAGCGTCAAGATATCTGCTGGTATGACTCCTCACCTTCTCAAATGTATTATAGTGGATGAATATTTTCAACACACATGTGAGGTCCTTTCATCCTGCTTCCCTTCCCTTGACCTAATCAAAATTTCATTATGTAATTAACCTGGCAGGGTTAATTGATCATCTAATCAATAATGTGGATAAACTGAGTTAGGCTTCCCCGTTCCAAATGTCTGGTCTGTCATTTAAGATGCTAAATGTTTATCAATGGGACGTTGTAATTATTAGAAAGCAGTTAAAGTAAATTACATGTGGGGGAAATGACATTTGTGCTCATAAAATTTAACCAATATCAACATTTCAGCTATAAATGTATTAAAAACATTTATTTCCAGCTACTACATCCTGCAATATGTTTACCAATAGTGACAAGATCAATCTGTAATCATAAAAGACAACCAGAAAAATTAAGGGAAATATTTCATATTCCTAATGATTATTGCTTATTTAAAGTTTTAAACACCATGAATCATTTTCCTTTCACTTTATAATTTTCTGCTACTTTGTGTTAATTTATGAAGAAGAAATCCCTATAAAATTCTCAGATGCATTTAGTTGAAAAACGTGGAGAATACTTTAGCAAGTGCAGCATGCAGTCCAGCTCACAAAGAAGGCGGTTATCGTTTGCTCATGTAGTGCATGACGTTTTTGACTCTTCTTAGGTGTGAAAATATCTTTGTGCTACTGTTACTGGGAACTGAATGTAGGTCGTGGTTCCACGAACAAAAGAAATAGAAAACCGCACCTCTAAGCCCTTAATAGAAAGAGAGTTTTGTTTTCTGAGGTCCTTTCAGTGATCCTCTATCAACAGACATGCTCTCAATTTCAGCTGAAGTAATGTAATATTTTGCTAATGTTACTTGAATATACAAAATTAGAGAAACAAGGATTCTAAAATAATTGGTAAATACTTTAGTTTCCCTCTAAAATGCTTATGCTAGCCTATTTCAATAGTTCAAACACCAAATATACTTTAATCTGCTTTTGTACACGTAATGGAATCCATCTTTGCACTATTGCAAAGTCTTCCTTCTATCCGCACTTGGAGGTTTTGCCAATCAATCCCCTCGGATTTGGTTTTTTGCAATGCCAGTCAATAGTGTATGAATAAGCATTACACCAACTTACTGCTGCTTTCTAAGCTTTCAAATATTTTACATATTGTCTCCTTACTAAAATAATGGCCAGTCATTTTTTCCCAAAAGAGATTTTTTGTCTAAACCATCTTTTTCCAAAAAGGTAGTATTTTTTTTTATTATTATCTTCTTCAAAGAAATTTCTGTGCATAAAAATTTCAAATAGGTATGTTCACAAATACTAAACACCTAATTAGACGTAATTAAAAATTATAAAAGATGCATGAATTAAATATTTTTAAATGGTAAACACAATCAAAACCATCTCAAACTTACCTGGATTCCTGTCTTAATTTCTTCATGCTTGAGAAATACTTTTATCTCCATGGCAAACAAAACGCCTGGGTGGACTTAGCTCCGCCTTCGAGGTGCAACTCCTCCTCTGAGCCACAGTTTCTAAGCTTGCGAGCTTCTGCCTCACAGAGCACCCTTACTTCCCCCTAAGTTCCTTCAGACTAGCCAGCAGCAATTAGCAAACACCTGGTAGAACTGTGTATTCATTATAGGAGATACTTCTCAGTGAAACTTTGATAAAAATGTTGTTAAAGGGTTAATAAAGGAGCCATGTTGTGATGACTTCCTGAAGACGGAGTTTCAGAAAGAGCAGGACTTTCTTAAAGAGACAGAGGCACAATTTCAAGGTGTAAAATTACAAAGTAAAGTTTCTTTCAAGTCATATTTGAAATATCTTGAAAATTGAAATTTTTTTAACAATTATGCAATTACTGATTATGCAATAATAAAATGATACTATGTGTTTAATACAGCCCCTTTAAATGTACATTTATAATCCTATTATAATCCAATTGTGCTAAAATGATTATCAGTTTATTTAAGTGATTGTGAGGATGTCTGTCATTTATAATGTTCCATTCTGCAGGCTACCTATTGTTGTTTTATAGTGGCAGTAAGATGAGTCATTGAATTCTCACAGAAAGTCTCAGTTGCATAATAATGGACAGGTTGTAAAGATTCAGCTTTCACTAGTGCCCTCAAGGTGAACTCAAATTATTAAAATAGGAACATCTCCACTACTGCTTTGTTGCTTTGTTTACTTGTACGGTTTTTCTTTTCTTTGGGAATAGTTTTCATAACAACACAAAAGCCCGTCTGCAGTTTCTGATGCCAAGAGACTTTCTGCTTATTACAGCCAGACAGGCGGCTGCAATAAACGACAGAAGGTCTTTAAACAAAGGGGTTTAAGAGACCGGCATATCGCTGACATTTATTGTCTGAAACCCTGGAGTAAAACTTGTTAAACTGAGCTGTGGCAAAAGATGAGATCATATAGGAAAAGCTGAATATGGATAAAAGTTTCACGAGAAACATGCTAATAAAATTCATGCTTCCTCCCCTTTCAAAATAAAATACAAACAAACAATTTAGTGAATTTTTTAAAGGAAGTTTATTGTGTTGTTTTCTGTTTGTGTTTGAGTAAAGGTGCTTAAATAGAAACCGACGCCACACTTTTCAGATTTTCATTTTCCTTCTTCTCTTATGCACTGTAAAAAATCGCTGCCACAAGGTTTCCTTCATGAAGCAAAAAAACAGCAAATGGTTGTTTAATTTTTATTCAAAGATGGAACTGTCTTAAAAAAAAGAATTCAAACACAATCAGGAAACATTTCTCAAAGTTAAAGACTGGAAAATGAAACACAGTCCAGCATTTCCTTCCCATCTGGAACTCATCTTCAAACTCCGTTAAATCTTGTTTTTCTACATTTTTGGGGGGACTTTCCACTAATTCAGCGCTTATTGGGATGCTAATTAAAACTTAATTGTAAGGTTAAACATTATTAGGTTGAAGTTAAGAGACCAATATTGTTGAGAGTCTATTACAGAAGCAAGAAAACATGGATAAATGTGTGTGTTTCCTCTTGTGCATTGCGGGTTACCAAGCAGGTTAGACAGAATATTTTCTAGATGAGATGTTTATTTACACAAGCCATAAAACTCATCCGAACATGCTTGTGTGCTCAGTGCATTAATTTTTCATTTTACAGTACTTGGAGAGTACAGACAACCAGCATTATGGTTTGACACGTTTCATTCACATTACAATTGCTCACATATGTCCACACACACACAAGTTAAATGGATATTTGCAAGCTTAAATAAACACACACACTCACAAAATCACTGACGTTTATAGCAAAAGCCCTCCATATTGCTGACAGGAAGCAGTAAGTTTTGACGGTAAATACTGAACATTTAAAAAAATAGAGCAACAGAAACAATAACAAACTATTTATACAGATACAACAAGCTCACGTTTCAGCACTAGGCCAATTTCCCTGAAGCTCACAGAATCTGCTTTCATACATTGTTAAGAACTGTCTGCATGTAATTGAAATTTAAATCGTCCTGCTTTAAGAAACATCAGGAACTCAAGCTCATGTTGATGACAGATTTATGCCAGAAACGCCCGCAAAAAATGTGTTGCTGAGTATTTTTTTTGCCAAACCGCGGGATCCTATTTAAACTTTCAAAGAAGAGACGCATTGATTATAAGTAAAAGTCTTTTAGACGTTAACTGTGAGACTCTGCAATATGAAATATTTTACCACATAAAAACACAAAGCAAACATAAAGAGTATTCCCTTTAATTCATCTTATGTAATTATGAATATCCACCATGTCTTTACAGCCAGACATTTGCAGTCAATGCCAGGAAAAAAATGTCATGGCTTTGAAAGAAAACTGACATTTTTATGATTTTTCTCCACTTGGTAGATTAATTTTACTGTCAGTTTGAGGATTTCAAGGTTTCTTCTTTTTAAAAAAAACAAAACAAATAGAAAGGTCTTTATTTCCTTTTCAAGAGGACTTTACAAAAACCATTTCAAGATGTTCCTTTAAATTCCTAAAGCGTTAGAATGACACTTTCGTATTTATCGTAAATTAAAGCAAGATGTGGATGAAAATTATGAAAGTCAGTAATGCACGAAGAAGATGTCTGGTGGAAAGACAGATTTTTAGCTTGACAATCGGCGAAAAACTCAAAAATGTCATCATTTTGCAAGACACAGAGAGAGAATAGTAGATACTTCGTAATTTTGAGCTTTGTGGGGAACAAATAAGCTGTTGTTTCAATTATCAGTAAATAAATAAATCTGTTTTACAGAGACAACATATAAATAAGCGACTGATAGGTGATGTATTTAAATTAGAGGGCATATTTTGTCATTTGTCAGGATGTTTATTTAAATAAAAGAATAAAGGTGAGGTAGGTTGAGATACAATCAATGTATGCTGCAGATGAGACGCTCCACACAACCCCTCACCAAAAAAGAAATGATATTTCTTCCAGCATAATGCTGAAGTTATTTGCAGCAACTTAACAAAAGCGCAACACAGTTAAACAAATATTTGAGGACAAAATTGTCTAACTGTGGCTCAACAAGGCATTTTACAGTGTTTCTCATTCAGTCACGCACAAAAATACCAGTAGAGCTGCCAGGCAAGATGGTGGCCAATCTGGAGAAACTTGCTCCAAGACACTTCAGGATGAGGAAAGTACGACTTCCACGTCCCTGCCATCACCTGAGCCACAGCAGCCCCAACACTGTTTCAAACACAGAATTTCTTTTCAAGTCAAACCATAATGGAAACCCACAAAAAAACAGTTTTGGTAAATATATTTATGCTTCATAATAAACATGTGAGTAAAAACAAAATAACTGCAAGAGAATACGGTTTAGAAATGTTCACTCATTCCCTGAGTGAAAGTTGGGACCCAAAAAAGCCTCTGAGCTTTTCTAGCATTTGACTTTTCCAACTGGCATGTGAAAAACTATTTGTGAGTTTTTTTCTGTTGTCATTGCTCAAATCTCACCCTACGTCCTCAGATGAATGCGTATTTTCTGGGGATTTTATGTGGGAGACCAACATAAACCAGCCGGTGAAGATAATGGAAGATGGTGCATTTTGGTGCCAACATTTGCTGCAAGTGTGTGGAAGAAGATGCTTTTTGTGGGGATTTGTTGCCTCAGCAGAGGAAGGAATGAAGCTTTACTTTCTGTTTGTCAAAGACTCTATAACTTGTGTAATTTGAGAGCAACGCCTGCTGTGATTGGTCATATTTATCTTTGCATTTATTTCACTTCAGTGTCTTCAGTTTAGTTTGACCCATGAAAGACAAAGCTGCAACATCTGAGTGTCTGCTGAGCAAATTGGCTTTTACTGGTAAATTGATTCACTGACAGTAAATAGAAGAAGCAACCTTACAAGACAGTTTCAGAAAAGTCTTTGTGGATTCAACAGTAATACGCTGAAAACCACAGAGTGGGAGTGGTCTTTAATTGGCCAATGTTATTACGGCCATAATGAAATGGAAACACCCAGGAGAATGATTGCAGCCCATCAAACTTCTCCAGCGTGTGTGCCATGTAGGCAGGCAGGATTGTACTCGTCCAATAAATAGAAACGTGGAGTCACAAGCAACAATGCTGTGATCAAACGGTTTCCTCCGTGGGAGGACAAGTGGTCCACATGGTTGGACGAGCCAGTTCCACAGGCGCGTGGCAGTTGCCAATTGACTCGTTCACAGAGCCTCTGAATTTCCCCAGCCGGGTCTTGCAGACAGACAAACAGAAGAAGTGCAACACGCTGGGGGAGAGCAGGATGAAGACCCACGGATCGATGATGGAGTTGATGGAGAGGAACCGGAGGGCCAGCAGGTCTTGTTCATGGGACTCATCATCGGACACGGCGGAGTTGTAGAACACTCGGATCTGTGAGATTATTGGAGAAGTTTGTGTTAAATCAGCCTTATGACCATAATGACTCATTTCCCTCAAATACTATTTCTATGAAAACATTTTTGTACTGAGAAAATGGATACTCCTTGTTTCTGTTCGTAGTACTGATTTCGTTGTGACTGAAAACCACAGTTCACTACGTGACAGTATGTTGGAGTAAAATGAACATTGTTCTTTTATTCTATGAATTACTGACAAAATGTCTCCAGAAAAATAACGACCTCAAATAATGCAAATCCAACTAGTTCATAGTTATTTAAAAACAACAATGCTAATGTTTTAACTCAGGAAGAGCTTAGGAATCAGGATTTGGTGGAAAAACCAGGAGGTTTTCAGTGGGGTTCAGTGCAGTGGTCTCTATATTTTTTGTGTTTTAGCCAGATTTAATGTGACAAAATGTAAAGCGAATAGTTTTCAATTCTTTGTTTATTATTTACAAATAAAATCCCCCAAAAAGTTGAATTTGTATTCATTGTTTGTAAAATAATTTAATGCTAATTTTCTGAAATCAGTTTTTTATTGCACAATAAATAAAGTCTACTTTGGCAATCACTGGTGGTTTTAGTTCCACTTTTCTCTTGGTGGTTTGAAAACGTGGTGATCAACATGTCCCATTAGTAATTTAAGGAATCAAAACTGCTTTTGGCTTGAAAAAGTCCTGAAAAGTGTTTTTACTACTGCAGCCACCTTGTATTATTGCAGAAACTGAGAGCAATATTTTCTGCAAATGTGCAGGAAGGTAAAGAGTTGGATTCTTATCAGTGGTCACTCTTTTCAGCTTTCTTGTCAACAAAATAGTCATATAAAAAACGTCTTTGTCATTCGTTGTTGAAATGACATAAACAAAAACCTTCTGATTTTATCTCTGTAAAGCAGACAGTAAGGTGGCGACAGGATGTTTACAGAGCACACAGTAGGTCCTCAGTTCAAGAAGATATTAAAGTTTGTTTCCAGCCAATGACTAACAGATAGCTCTCATTTGTGTGTTTTGTGGCTTTATAAGAGCCGGATGTTTAAAGCAAATTGACATTCCTCTGCTGACATCCACCAACTCGGTTTACACACAAGATACTCCTTTAATGAAATAATTAGATGCTATAAAACAAAGATTGCAAACTTTTCTTTACTGGTATTTTTCACATTATCTTTGGTTTAGCAGACAACAAACTTCACTTTCAGAGGATTAGTGGAGAAGTGCTTGGTGAAAGATTTGTGCTTCTTAAATTTAAAAGATGATTACTTAGATCAAATTTTGTACAATATTTTTGCAAATATAACACTAAATGTGACTTTTTATTACTCGATGTATCGATCTCAGACTATAACTTCACACCAGGAAAGGCTGAGGCAGCAGTTACCTTGTTAAACCCAATGTTTTTGGCTAATTTAGAGAAAAATTTGCAGCAAAAAATGTGGAAATTTGTTGATTTTGTGTGAATCTTGTGAAAAACTAGAATTTATGGATGTAATTTGGAGTCTAGAAGCGGGTAACACGTGTCAAACAGGCCTCCAGTTTGACTCGTGTACTGTGGACTCAAGTTTATGCTTTCAAAACGAAGACATCTAATCTATAAATCTCCAATCTCAACTTCTCGCCGACTGATTGAGCTGACATGTGGTTAAAGTAAATGCTGATAAAATTCAAACAGAAAACGTTGCAAAATCCACAGATGTAAAATGAATTTGATTGTAATTCTACCATTTATGTATTTAATTGCATTTTAATGTTCTCCTTCAAAACTAAAATTAAACAGATTTTTTCCCCCCTCATTAACTTCAATATGTTGGTTTTCCTTTTGCATTCCTGTTCTCCATGATTGAGAATAGTAGGACTTATCTGACCTTTTTAAAAGGAACCATTTGATTGGTGTTCCTGGTGTGAAGATTGAGCTGCAGGTTTCTCTGCTTTTCCCCCGTTGGGTCGAATAAATCAGCAGCTTGAACAGCCCAAATGAGAACCAGTAAATTCCGTGGAGCCATGTCCCCAAGGTTGGGAACCAGCTTTCAATACAATCCATGGAAGCTGTGACTAGTTCACAGGTTTAGAAAATGCCACTACCGTCCATCTCAGGGGGGTCAGAAAGGAACAATATAGTTATAAAAGCAGCTTTATGGACTGAGTATATTTCTCTATTATTTTCTCCTTTTCCTCTGTTTACTGTTATTTTCTCTGTCCTGCTTGTATCTTTAGCTTTTCACTGCATTTTTAATCTATGATGCACAGACATACAGCTAATAGCTTGGCTGTTTGCTGCTGTTAAACTGCTGCATTTTCCTCAGCTTAACATGCCTATTAAGTCTTGCACAGCGGCACATCAGCAGCTGTTAATGTGGAGCGTATAAAAGGGTTCCACTGCTTTGATAGTTTACAAGCCCCTGTAATACTGTGTAAATTTCAGAAACTGTTATGAAAACAAGAACGTCCATATGCTTTTGTTTTGCCTGAGTTCAGATCAGTTTTCATTGCCACATGGTATCATTTCTCTGATTACTGTCAGTCCTCGACATGTGTGAGAAACAAAAACAGTTTTTTATCCAGGCTGAGCCATGAAATGTGCTTCACACTGCGAGACTATTTTCCTCTGCTCTTTGAGCACCAACAGGAAGCGTAATAAAGACTTTAATGTGAAGAGGCTGATCACAGAACACCATCTTCAGTTTGAGCTCTAGCTGAAGAACTGGTCCTGATGAAGCCATACTAATTCATTCTCCACCTCTCCAGGAGCGAGTCTCTTTCTTCCTCTGTCTGGAGTGCTGCTGTTTGGCATTTTCAATCATTAATGCAATCAAATATGACCACAGGCTCTTCACATTTACACGTGCCATCATTCTGCAGCTTCATATTGGAAGAGAAATGCAATATAATCCAGGAGTCTAGCCAGTGTGTAGACTGTGGTGTCACTTTCTTAAGCCCCCATGAGTATTTATGTAAGACTCCTAGTAAATTATTCATCTGCTGTAGTAGGTTTAAATGTGCACCCATGGGCAGCTATGAAACACTCATCATGACTGAAGTCTGTCAGCTTTAAAGCTTGAAAAATGCAGAACTATTCTTTGTATTCAGAAAGTGTGTGAAACCCGATCTCTAGAATAATTTTCCAATAAGTCTCCTCCTTGAACCTGTTCACATTTTGTCAATCTTTCAACAAAAATTTCAACTTATCTTACAGGGAATTTATTTAGGCAACACAGTATTAGGATTGCATCATGAAAACAGGTTAAATTAACCCAAAACAAAATTTTTTTGAGCTTCAGATTTGGGAATCAAGAGCAGTGAAAGTCCATCCAGCTGACCAGGCCTGGACAAAAGTAATGGAGAATGTCCTTTGGACAGATGAGACAAAACTGGAGCTTTATGTGCACAGATGCAAAAACAAAGCAAATCAAGAAAAGAACACTGTCCCTACTGTGAAACATGAGAAGGCGTGGTTATATCCTGGGGCTGATTTACGTCTTGAATCTGTGCAGGGCACAATAAAACCCCAGACTGTCAAGGCATTCACTGCAGGCTATGGCTCTTCCAACAGGATAATGACCCAAAGCACAGCGAAAAATACCCAAAAATGGCTAAGAGCAAAGCATTGGACTGTTCTGAACCCGCCTTTTGGTGAAGGTTTCCTACATCCTGCTGTTTGGAAACCAATGTAAACATGTTAATGGAACAGTTTTGTGAACATATGATCAGATTTATAGGGATGACTTGAAACTATCATTCCATGACGAGACATTATAATAACCAGACATGAAGGCTCTCCATAGTATAAACTTGTAATCATCAGTGTGTAAATAGTGAAACACGATGGGAATGTCTGCTGTTTGCGCTTTACTGAACCTTGTCACTTGAAGCTTTTTGTTTATTTTTCCTCTCTTTTCTGGGCCCACTTGTGACCTCAGTTTCTTATTATTAAACTCAGGTTATCTAAAGCTTCACAAAATGTATAGAATCTCTCAGCTGAAGTCGGTTTAGTTTTATTAAGGTCTACTTTTTTCCGAGCTTGCTGTCCAAATCTGTGTTTGGATCCTGTTAGAAAGGTCAGAGGTTAATCAGACCAACTGAGACTCACTCTCTGTTGCAACATATTTCTATTGGACCCTTATAGGAGTTTATCTGAAGCCGCTCTGCAACCCGATCAGCTATCATTGGCCAGATTATCTCCTCTAGCTAACCTGGCCAAGCCTTGCCCCCTGTGGTCCTGTCTCTTGGTCTTTTCTTTCTCTGGACCAGTCTTTGCAGGTCATGACCTCTGCAGACTGGAAAGCATCTGGAGCTGCAGCTGCCAAAATCCCCAGTTGTCCAGATATTTATCTTTGCAAGAAATCCTTACATATGTTCATCCTGAACTGCAGACAATCTGTTATAATACACGATTGTAGACTCTGTCCTGCTACAATCTATACCTCTCTGGGTATAGAGAGGTATAGATCTCGTCTCTATACCCAGATCATCTGTTTTATTTTGCCTCCTGATGAGAAGGCAATGAAAGCTGATCCCTGTGTCCTCTATTTGCCTACATGGGTGTTACCCTTGTGAGCTGAAGGGCAATTTAAAGCAGCACTAATACTGGCACCATCTTTTTAATGCTTGTTGAACAGATTCATCCAAGACGCCTTCATTCCTGCCTGTACGCATCAGATTATACACCAAAGTCTTTCTCTGGACTCATTTATAGATTTATATTTGTATTTACTAATATTTACACCTTGGATGGAGTAGTTTGTCAGCAAATAAGCAATTTCCCATTGGGGATCAATAATCTATTCTTGAGCATGTTTTCTATTGCTTGTGATAAACTTTAAAGAGGACTTCGAAGGGCTTTTCACTTTTTGGATCATTTATAAAAATATATTTGGAAAAAAGAACACATAATTTTCCTTCCACTTTGTATTTATGTGCCACTTTGTGGTGATATAATGAAAAGTCAATAAAATGTATTGTAGTTTGACGTACAATGAATCAGTTTGAAGACTTTTCCACAGTTAGTGAAATGTTTTTTGCTTGATCAAATAAATTTAACAGTTTTTTACTAAAGAGTCTTTGAGAACACAGCTTGAGCAGTTGGTTCAGCCATCCTGTGGTCCGTCTGTGGAATATTAACGCTACTTAAAAAACCAAGTTCGAAGCAGAATTTAGCGTTGGCTGCAGAGACGATGGTTTCCAGCAAAAGCTGAGACAACAATGCAGAAGATGGCACTTTGGTCCATTACAGCTGTCCCCACTTAAGTGCATAGCGTCTAACGCTGCATGGAAAACCTTATCGATTTTGCATCTCATGTCAGAAGTGTCGCTTAAAAACCAATGTGGTTCCATACAGATTACTCAGGAGTCGCATTGAGACAGAGTAATGGCTGGCTGGGTGATGAGTCATTTATGGGTACTCATTGATTGCAGCACCCACAATCCTCTCTGTCTGTGCCAAAACCATTAGAGGTAGTCTAGAGAAAGCGCAGAGTCAGCTCTGGCATCTGCTAATCATAAGCTTGCTTCAGATATTCATTATATCTGTTTAATCAAACTGGCTGTTGGTGTTCAGGACAGCTCAGACGTTTACATACATTCATTATCGCCATGAATGTTGGCGCTTTCAGAGAAGCAGTTAAACAGCTGTTTACTGGTCAACAAACAAAAGATTGTTTGAGGATTTTCAGCTGTTTTAGGGTCATTTTGATGTGGTGAATCCAAGAATCACACTGGTTTTGCTCAATCGGCTCAACTTTCTGAACTAAGATACATGTTAGTTTGGGATGCAGTCATGATGGTTGATGATTATTGGATTCTGAAGAGAAGAGAGATATCTCTGCTGATGAGGCGGCCGAAGAAACTGAGTTTTGCTCAATGAAGACGGAATATTCAATTCACATGTACTTTTTGCTCAACTTACAGAAATCCAAGTTTGTGTCATGTAATTAATACAGTGTTATTAAAACTGTTTTTTTCTCCAAAAGCCTTCTTTGGATGAGAAATATTAAATGATTAAATGTAATCAATTTAGTCAAATAATTGCATTTCTGTAAATCAAATTAGAACAAAAACCATTTTACTGACTGAATAAAATGGATGTCATTTTGGGTTCAGTGGTGCTAAATAGTCCTAATTCAGTTGAAAAAACATAGATAACTTCCAAATTATAATTTATTTTGTTAGTCAGTTTAATACAAGAACAGGCTGTGCTTGTTTAAAATCTGATCTCTATTAACTGTCAGGCATAACGGTGGCACTGTTCTGTTTTGAGTTTGCTGAAACATCTGCTGGTGGCTTGAGATCAAGAATGAAGATTACTTCAATTTTCTTCAACTTCAACATGAAGTTGAAGATTGGACAACTTCCAACAAGGTTTCACAAATAAACCCGACCTCATTCTTTAGAAAAAAATGTTTGATTTGGCTTAAAAGATATAACCTACCAAAAATAAATGGACTCATCGTTTTTGCCAATGAAAGTCACAATTAAATACTGTAAAGCTTCTAAAACGTGCTGAGGGCTATTTTAACAAACATTGAAGAGCCTGTATGCTTAATTCAGGTGATTTATCATTATTTTCTGATATTCTTATATTTAAAAACCACCAAAAATGTCTCCTAATGCCACCAAAATATGGAATATTTATAATTAAACTCCCAAAAAATGACATCCAGGCCCATGATGAAAGCATGCAAACTTCTTATTGCTGCCACACAGCAGTAAAAAGCTAATCCTCTGCTGAGAAAAATTATATCAGATAGATTAAAGCTCCATCATAACATTTCTGTCAGCTAGCCAAACTAAACAAACCTGGTTCCTTTTACATCGACGCAGTGTTGACCCGGTGTTATTTAGCAGAGCCCTCGCAGGTTGTTATCAGACACATCACAGATGTGACATTAGTGACATTTATGATTCCAATTTCAAAGCCAGATACCCTTATCGTGTCATTACAGTTCCCATCCAAACAGCTTCCTGATGATATTACTGATCACATCCTGACTCCCCTGAACTTCAATTGTAATCAGCCGCTGGATCTGCAGCCTGCTGGGAGCAAAGACAGTTCTCCTTTAGAACAAAGTTTGCTTTGTGTTTCTTGCACCTACATGTTTTATTTAGGCATTAAATGTAGAAATCTCATGTGACATGAATGTATTTTGTTATGGGAGCCAGATGTATCAATCTAGAATTTGAACTTGTGGCATCAGCACCATCGCTGTTCCTTTGTTTCTGGCCAATATTAAATAGAAGTGCAGTACAGCAGATTACATTGACAACACTCTTCAGAATGAAGCGATAAACTGTCTGCTTCTGTCAAGATCTTGACTGACACAACACCAAACAACAGAGCAAGTCTTTTTAGTCTTTCACTTTGTAGCCGATATTGATCAGATCAGATATACGAGAGAAGACGTACAGTAGTAAATGTCAAAGTTTGTTTGCTTATCTCAGAATGAGAAAATGAAAATAGTTCTGTCTACTTTAGAGTATGTGACCTTTTCTGACATTTTCACTTAACCTTTGACATCTAATGAACCAGAATATCTCATAATAAGAAGATATTAATTTGGGGGATAATCCTAGATTATAACACAATGATTCTAAGGTTTGCTTTTTCATGTCATTCAGCGTTTCTATATTTAACGTTCATGAGCTACACAATTTATTCTCAATTTGCATCAAAAGGTCAAGATTGTACTCAATCTTAGTTTACAAATGTTGCATAAAGGCTAGTTATCAGTCTTTAGAAAGCTAAAAATCCAATATATTCTCATTTTAAAGCATGCACCATTCCTTAGGTTACATTGACAACACTCTTCAGTGTAGACATTGTTACTGAGAGAAGAATATTCAAGGCTAGCCTACTTCTCTATCCATCGGGAGTTTAAAAATGAAGTTAGCGGAAGCACAAAACGTGTCTGAAGCTATATAACAGGAAAGCAGTTTCTTGAGATGCATATCAGGCTCTCAGTGGAGAAATAAACTTTATCAGGTCATTTTATACTTGTGAACTTTTTTGCACTTTTGCAACTTACTTTTTCGAGTTCCAAGCTCCCAGAAGCTTTGTTGAAGTACTATGATTTAGTAGTTTATTGTAAAATGATGCTTAATTATCATTGGGTGGATGACACAAATCACCTATATTGACACCACAATTATCTTCTGAGCCCAAAACAAAGCATTTTTATAATACCTTGAGAAAACTACACATCAACATTTACTGCTAGGATGGATGTTTGAAGTGATAATTTCAAGATGTGTGTTGTCTGCTGTCATCTTACCACCATGGGCAATGTGCAAATGATGAAGATGATAGTCATGAAGACCAGTGGGATCAGGTGCTCCACCTCATGAGCCACGAACACCCTGCGCTCGCTGCTGGATCTCATGTTCTTCATCACCGAGCCTTGCCTGTTGCGACGTCGGTACATCTGGAACAGCTGGTATCCCACGAAACTGTTGCAGGCCACAATCGACAGGACCAACACCAGCATAATTGTGGCATATAAGTTAGCATAGACCCTGTGCTCTATGTCGCCTGGGTTCATGTCAATGAAGCACCATGTGCCAGGGCAGTATTGCACATATGCACCAAATTCCACAAAGGGAAGCAAACAGAATAGGAAACATACAAGAAACATAACAGAGATTATGACATAAGCCCATTTCTTGGTGACAACCCGGTTATACAGGTAGGGGTGTCCTATTGCAAAGCATTTGTCCATTGCTGTAATGAAGAGGAGCGATATGGTGGCCAGGCTGAAGAAGGTCATGCTGCTGCCAAAGTACTTACACACACTGCCTGTGCAGCTGTTAGGGGAGACGTTAGTGGAGACGTTTATAGTATTGTTACACTTAGGATCCATCCCAACCAAGGTCTTGTTCAGTGCATAGGCAATCTGAACTAGGGGGCTGGTCAGGCAGGTTCCAGCCAGGTCTGTGAACACCAGAGAATTGATGAAGATGTAAAACAATCCTCTGTGCCGCCTGTCATCGACCTTTGAGTCCCTTCGCCGACGGATTTCCAGGATCACCAAGGCAGCAACGTTCCCAAAGACTCCTAAGCCAAACATGATGCCGCTGATCATTGGGGAATTATTATGCTCTATATCTTCTTTATAGTGGCACTTGGTATACTGGTACTTGGGTTCTGAAGTAGGATTATCCATTCTTCTTTCCTTTAATGCTTTTTTCTGCTTCTCCAATTTCAGCAGAAGCTTAAAAGTGGATCTTTAAGTATTTGTCTGGAGCCATCCTGTTAAGACAAAGAGAAAAATAGTTTAGAGATTGAGCGCAGCAACAATTCATTAGCTGATCCAGCAGGTAGTTAATATTCTGTCATGTCTTCTTAAAAATCTTGTACTAATGTACCAAAACATTGTATATCATGAATTACGGAGAAAAGTAGTCATAAAATCAAAACTATACATTGTATTACAAAAAAACTAAGACTGGTCTGAAATCATCAGTTATCAAAGCAACAAAATATCCAATTTATGGTACAAACATGTTGATATAAAAGGTCCTCTGGCAGATGCTTTCATTTTTCTCCTGATATGTTCAACACATGTTTCTTTTTCTTTTGGCATAGAAAACAAACCTAAAACATGTCTTGAAAAATATCCAGTAATCAAATATTAGTCACAATTATTTTGAATGAGAATTTATGAAATTCTGGCCACTTGGAAGAACAATGTGCAGACCGATAGGCTGGCTCAAGATTTCTTACAGTTTATTTGAAGTTTGATTAAAATGAGTTCAGTTCAGTAAAACCAATCAGGTTATCAGCACAGGTCCTGTTACATTTTATTTCCTCGTAAAGAAATCTGCAACTTTTAAAATATAAAGTATTTCTTTCAAAAAATCTTTATGACTACGGATACACTTGTTTTGACTAAATTAATAAAAGACGTTTTTAGAACACAGACAAATATTTGTTCTTGAATTAAACCTGCCATGACTTTACATAAAAGAGGAGATGTATTTAACCCTAACATGGAATAAAACCAAAACAAAAATCATTGTAACCTCATTATTATTATGCTGGGAAAATTATTCTCAAAATTACACTTATATATGTAACCCAGTTTGAGTTCCTTCAGGCTGCAGAACCGTTTTACGGATATCAGATCCTCTGATTCTGCTCGGATGTCAGATGACTTTGCTCCAGGATTGTAAAACCTGCTTATCTTCTGCCATCAAACAAAGAACCTGAAAGTCTCATCCGTAAAGATTGTTTACTTTTCTCCCTGAGACTCAACAACCCAGACTTTACAACAAGTGCTGCTCCAGTGGTAGAGTTGCGAAACCAGGAGTTGTTCCTCTTGTGATTTGACTTATGATTCAGCTGACAAGCTGAACTGTAAACTGTCATCCCATTTCCTGAGAAATGGACTATTACACTAAGCTCAGATATTCAAGCGTCTAGTTTCTGAAACAATTGTTGCTCGAACATTAGACTTGTAAATTCCTGCAGCTGCTGCTGCCATGCTCGAATTACATCGCTTCACGGAGGGATTCAAACTCAGTCAAGCTTTCCAGATTTTATAGCAACAAACTTCACGGGAATTTTCTCAGAAATGCATATTTTATTTTCATGCTAAAACAAGAAACGATCAAATCAAAATTTTCACACCACTGAAAAAAATCTACTCTTTTTCTTCCACTTCACATAAAAAAATGGGATTTAAATAACAAATTAGGTTTGTGAGCTTTTCTCCCAAGCTCCTAGCATGATCATGTGGCCCTGCAACCACACATCTGACTCACTTTCTTTTTTCCTGCTGAAGAAAGTGGACATCAGATGTCACTGAATCAATAAAGAGAAAGATTTTCCTCCAACTTTTAGAGCTGCATCTCCAACAGATGTGTCAAATCTACAAATGACAACTGAGTTGATTTCATTTTCCCACATTGTGCCAAAGCGGGTTATAAAGGCGCTCTAACGTTTTTATTTACATCACGGAAATATTTACATCCGAAAAAACCCCGGCGCGTGTCCCTGACTGTCATACCCGCGTGGGCAGCCGGATGATAAACTTCTCACCTGTGAATCCCCGCAGCGCGTTTCCAACGTCCTCCGCTTAAAACGAACCAAGTTATCCTGCTGTGGTTCGATTCCTCTGGGACTGCGCTGCTCGTAGGGGAGCCGCTGCAGGGCAGAGGCGCGACGCGATGTGATGAAGCGGACATGAATTGACTGGGGCTCCGAGAGCGGGCGGTGACGTCACGGCGAAGCCACGCCCACAGCCGCTGTGCAAGTTTGAGCTGGTTAGCTGGCCGCCACGCCTTTGCATTCTGGGAAGTACCTCCATAATATTCAGCTTTCGGTGCGCAGATCTGTTTGAATGGAGCTTTCAAAGGATTAAAAACGAACAAATATAAATACATAAATGAAGTTTTTTCTTCCCCAAGCTTTCCCAATCGTTTTACCTGTTAAAATAATAATAAAATAATAGTACAAACTCCCCAGATCTTATTCTTCTTTTATGACAAGAAGTGAGAAAATAAGTGAGGAAATATAAATTGTTTCTTTTCAGATTTTTTTTTTACTGACTACATCAAATTATTTCTCAAAATGTTCATGGAAAATTTAAATTTTATCCAGCTGTAAATGATAATTTTCATAGAGAACAAGCAAAAACAATTAGAGTTACTCTTCTTTAAATTATGAGATGTTCAGGTTACATCGACCTGAACATTTTTTCAAATTGGCACCACAAATTAATTAGATATTATTGTTCAATACTTTGTACCAAACTAGAAATGATTTAAGCTCAATAAAACTTTAAAACTGTAAAACTGTGGTTGCAGAACTTAAAGAAAGACACTTTTAATTAAATTTACTGATACATTCGGCAAATAAGATCTCAAAGAGAACATTCGTTTCTTATTGTTGTTTTTTGACATAATGTCCCAGTTTGAAACAAGTTTTTACCCTCGTTTTCTCTTAAAGTGAGTTATTTACGCTGCAACCCGTTTAAGCATCTGCAGATGCAGTTCTTTAAATAAACAGCTAAGATTGTACATGCTGCGGCTGAATGTGCCATATCTCCAAAAACCTTCTGCAGAAACTGCTTCCTCTTTGCGATGCGATATTCTGAGAACATGCAGTTTTCAGTATGTGAGAGTCTGCATGCGCCGAACCTCCTGGGTCAAAATGTGGAGCGTGAAAGATGAGCGTTTGATTCCTAAAAGTGTCCCTCGGGTTTCCTCCTACAACATTTTAGATTTGAGCATCTCATTTCCCATCTGGATTAATATAACTTTCTCTTCTTTATGACATGTCCCTCATGACGCAGAGATACAATCAGTGGCTTGGCCCATTCCCGGACGGCCACAACAAAGTAAAGAACTAATCAAAAAATGACTAAAAATGGTCGTTTTTTTTTTGGAAATTATTTATTTTTATTTTTCAGGGTTTGGTTCTGCTGAGTTCCTTTTTGACAACAGACAGCCAACATGCACAAACATCTGCTTAGTATTAGTGAAAACATATTAAGTGCTCCATAATGCATTGTAATGTCGCATCGTTTTACCTTTAATCAAGAGCAGAAAAAATGCCTGTCTGGTCTTGAAATGGGAAGTGATGTATGCTGAAAGCCTTTAAATGGCAAAAGTGCTTTCATTCAGGCCCATTAATGAATCCCTAATGGTTCTGCTGTAATTTTGTCTCATCATCCCTGGTCTCTCTTCAGCTCTCTTTTTGCCCACTTTCACTTATTTAGAATATTCAGTACTTTGTAAAAGTTTCCACAATTTTTCATTCTTTCACCTCAAATATGATAAATTTTGATGGGATTTTATACAATAGGTCAACACAAAAAAGGAAATAATTGAGACGTGGAAGATATTACAAGGTTTTCTCAGCTTTTCATAATTAAAAAAGAGATTTTGCAGATTATCTGAGAAACACTGTCCTTTATGGTGGCAGCATCATGCAAAAAATGGTTCTGTAAAAGTATAAAGTTTAGATTTTCAAGTTGCACAAAAAGTAAATGGATCATTTTCATTTCACTTTTCAATCGAAATCATAATAAAATTTGAAGAAGTGTGAATATATTTAGAAAGCATTCTAAGTTTGTTAGAATTGTTATAAAGTAAGAGTTACATAACTAATCGGTCAGGTTCAGATCGCAAAAATATAAAAGGAAAATCCTGATCTTTCAACTTGTTTATCCACATTGCTGTTTCCTTTTTCCTTTGTTCCACTTTCGCTTCCCTTCACCTCTTTCACCTCAGTGACATGGGACCATATTTCACTTCCTTTACCTTCACTTTCCCTCCATTTTTGCTTCTCTGCAGTTTTTATTTTTTCCCTTCTTGTTGCGTTTTTCCCGGCTCTCCCTGCCTCGGTTGCTGTGTCACATTAAGGGCCTTGTTTTTCCCACTCCCTCAGTTTACCGGACCCATTTCAGTCCCTGCTGATTCTGAATTATTGATGGGTTCGTTGAATTTTATTGAATATCAAATGTCTCCACTGAGACATGGGCAGCCAGCTTTCAGTAATCACACGTTGTTGTAGGATGACTAATGTAGTATCAGAATAATTCACAGTTTTAAACCACCTTTGTATAATCCAGTGCGTTAGCTTTTATGTGAAGATTAATTGAGCGTACTGTATATTTAACTCAACCACAAGGAAAATGAATCTAAGCTTGCCTTTGGCGCCACCTGCAGGTTTATTTGAGTAATCACGCCATGAACTCACTGAAATTACACATTTGGGTTATTAGTTAAATCTGAGCCTCTTTGTTCTGATAGAAGACACTCAGATGTGTCTCATATTGACATTTTATTTCGTTTACACATTATTGCATTGCTATTTCATTTTAAAATCTGAGAAGCATTCTCTACATTTGTCTTTATTGAAAAGCAAACATATTTTTTGTAAACTTCATAATCATCTTGCACTATTTTTTGTTGACATATCACATGAGATCGTAACATTTAAATAATGATTCTCATTTGCTTTTTAGTATTTACCTTCTTTTTGGTTGTTTTATTTTTTCCAGAGACATTGTGTGTGTTTTCTGTTTTATTAAACTTCAGTCCTTTTTCTTTTTTTTTATCAACCTTATGTTTCAGACAGCGCTTTCTTCTTGAAACACTTTAGAAAATATGACCTAAATTTAACACGTGTTCACAATATATTGTTTAAATTTGCCAAGATTTGCTACAGAAACAATTCAGGATTTTACACTAACTTTACAAACAGTATTTTTTGCTCTGTTTCTACCTGAGATGTAAAATGAATTCTCACTAAAAGTTACATTCAAAGTCAATTAAAAGTGCATTTTTGGGTAAATAGTGACACTTTTAATGCAAAGTAGCTGCATTAAAAATCCGTTAAAAGTTATAATTTACTGAATGACACTTCACAAGAATATATCATGTTTATTCACACTCTTTTAAATAAAATGTTGCCAAATGGGGTAAAGTTTGTGATTGTCACGTGACAAAATGTGGAAAAGTTTAAGTGAGGCTGCAGTACACTAATGCAGACACTAGATGGCATAGATGAGTCAGGTTGATGTCGCTGACTTGATTAAACTGAATAAATAAAAGACAAATTAAAGTTTGTGATTTCTTTAATTCATTAGGAATATCTCAATATAATTTTTTTTAAAGTTTATAGTTTTTGAGTGAACCGGCTAGTGTACCAGAAGTCTTCATGAGTACTGAGAAACAGATACTGTTACATCTGGATTAAAAATGCTCCATTTGTCTTTTTCTCTTAATTCGAGCCAGATGTTACCTCCGGCACCGGGACGCAGCGTGTCACTCAGCCCGCCTGTGACCAATCAGTGCGCGGCTAAGCTCCTCCCTCCCGCCCTGCAGGACCTGCTGGGTCCCGGCGGGTTCTCCTTCTTTCCGCTGCTCCGCTCTCCGAGTCCGGCTGTTTGAGCTCCCAGAGCTGCTCGGCCTGCCCATGGACAGAGGAGCGATGCTGACCGCGGCTCTGCTGTGCTGCTGGAGCTGCACCGTGTGTGTGGTCACAGCCATCCGGAGGACGGATCTGTTCCCTTTCGGGGATCTGAACGGAGATTTAATTCTACCAGAGGGCGACGATGAGACATCCAGAGCGCTGACCCTCCCGAGACCCTTTTACTTTTTTGATTCCCCTTTTTCCCAGCTCTATGTGAGTCACTTTTTATCTAGTTTTTCCTCCATTTTTAGCTTGTAATTGCTTAATTTGTTCCAATGCATTTGCAAATTTGCTCCAGGAAATACTTCCTGCAGTAAAAAGATGTAAAAAAAAAAAAAATAGAAAAGAAAAGAAAGAAAATTTACTGTTTAGCTATAACTGTTTATAGATTTTTTTAACATTAGAATATTATTCATATATTTCAACAATCAGAAACGAAGCAAGTGACGCTCTTATTATTATTATTTCTTTTGTCATTTGCTGATCTATCTTACTTTCTTTCTTGTAAGTTTCAAAAAATTTTTCTGTATGAATAAATTATTTCTAGTCATAATAATAATAAAAAAGGTTATAAATTTATTTTTAAATGTGCTAGTAAAAATCTGAAAAAATGAATGAATGACAACACGCTGTTGCCACCATCATCTATTTAACCAAGTATACATTTTCTCAATTTTTACAAGAATATAATCTTTATAAATTTAGCTGTTCTGCAAGGTTTGGTTTGAAAACATTAGTGAACAAACATCAGTTTAAACTTCAGCAAGTCATCTGAAGGCTTCTGTACTGTCATCTTCCAATTTAAACTGACATTTACATTGGAAACATCAAGTAATTAAACAGATGTACCTCATAAAATGAGTACTACCAGAGATGTTTTTAGTAAAAGTTTGTCAGTGTGGGCGGTAATCATTTTATGATTATATCTGTTCACATTTTGTGCTTCTTTGCATAACACTTCACAGGAATTATTGGCCTGCCATCAAGGATAATATCAGACTGAAAGTCATTTAAATGTGGTTTGCTGGTTTCCTAAACATAATCAGGTACAGGCAGGGTATCCTTGGGGCTGTTCCAGTGGTTTAGGGAGGTAATGACGAGGTTCATTATGTGGTTCCCGGGGGTTTCAGTGGCTTATACGGGATGTGGGTTAATTTGGAGTCATTTTTTAACACCAAAGCTTGATTTGTGTCTTGGTTTAGGTGGCCACCAATGGAATTGTCTCGGCTCAGGACCTGCCAA